TGGCAGAGTCTTAACTTTGATAAAGAATATCTCTTTGGTTTTGAGACTTTAGTCTTTGCAGCTTCAGGGATCTTATCTATGCACAATCAGCTTGTAACACTCCAAAGAGAAAGGAACACTTGAAATGGCATCATATGACCCCTTTAACTTGATTGATTCTCCTTCAACACTTTTAAAATAAAAGTGGTTTTCGAAGTGATGCCAAAAAAGAACCATTTTGGTTCCTCAAAAACCTTTCAGTGAACAGTTCTTAAAAGAACCATTTAGTGTGAAGAACTACTCTAAAGAGGCTTTTGTGGAATGGAAAGGTTCCATGGATGTTAAAGGTTCTTCATGGAATGCATTCCGATCTTGACATCAAAAGGCACAAAAATATTTTTTTCTCTTATTCCATGGATTTGACCCATTCACCTCCACCTGTTCCCAGTGTTGTTCTGCAACCACTGTGCGCGCGCAGCTGCAAGTGACGTAACTGTGACATTTACTCTAAATTGGTCTATACCCACGTTTGTTAAAGCTTTTACTTAAAAAGCAGCTGGGAGGGTTTCTGAGACATTAAACATCATCATGCCAAACAGGTCAACTCATCTACTAACCAGTCTGCCTTATTGTGTTTATAATATCATGCTCTTGCAAACTATTAGGAAACTATCCTCAAACTTTTACGAAACAAGTTTTTTAAACAAAGACTGAGGCTGATGTTGAAGGATTGCATGTAAACTAGCAAATTTGGTCATTTCCATAAACTGGTCATCATTGCTTCACTGTAAAAAAAAAAAATCTGTAAAATTTACGGTAAAAAAACGGCAGCTATGGTTGCCGGAATTTTACCGTAAAAATACGGTAGCAACATTTTAGGTTTTACGGTTTTAACTTACATTTACAGTTAAATACCGTAATTTCATTAACTGATATAATGTTAATATACCAACCTGTTGAAGTACTGAAATCTGTTTTGTAGCTTTGTAATACACTGATAACCACCAAATGCAGGAGGTGATGAGAAAGTCACATGATGAACCAAAGCCCATCACAAGCAGCTTTTAAATAATAACATATATAGAAGGTGCACAGCGTCATTCACACAAACACTAAACACCATCATGGTAACCCACATGAAACTTAAAATATATTGAAATAAACATTAATTTAACAACATCAGGTGCATGTAAACATGCTTCAGGTGTGTTTGATCAGGGTTGATCTCAAATCTGCATGATGTAAATATGGTGGTCACTCCTAAAACGTTGTGTGCATGTGGCCAAAGAGAAGGTGACTTCATCACAGACCTCTTCTGTGCCTCATTTAAACAGAACCTCACGTCTATCTTCACCACAGATATGTTTTTGCATTTCCTCTCTGTGGGAGGAACAATGTGGAGGCAGTTTCCCTGTGTTGCTAAGATAATGCTAAAGCTCTCGAGGGGAACGGTTTGGGTTGCAATTGAACAGGAAAAGAAAATGCAGAGGATAAGGTATGACTTCAGGGTAAGTGTGAGGGATCTGCTTTATGACCAGAACACACCAGATAAACGCTGTGCTCTCAGTCTAATCTAACATCTGCTTTCACGCCCCACATCCTGAGGACACATTAAAGGAGAAATGCTCTGACATCGTGCCTGATGAAGACCTGGCTGGTCGAACCGTTGTGCTGATGTGGCCAAAGAGAAGGTGACTTCATCACAGACCTCTTCTGTGCCTCATTTAAACAGAACCTCACGTCTATCTTCACCACAGATATGTTTTTGCATTTCCTCTCTGTGGGAGGAACAATGTGGAGGCAGTTTCCCTGTGTTGCTAAGATAATGCTAAAGCTCTCGAGGGGAACGGTTTGGGTTGCAATTGAACAGGAAAAGAAAATGCAGAGGATAAGGTATGACTTCAGGGTAAGTGTGAGGGATCTGCTTTATGACCAGAACACACCAGATAAACGCTGTGCTCTCAGTCTAATCTAACATCTGCTTTCACGCCCCACATCCTGAGGACTGGACACATTAAAGGAGAAATGCTCTGACATCGTGCCTGATGAAGACCTGGCTGGTCGAACCGTTGTGCTGTTTTTTTGGAAATCTTAACATGTTTTGAATCTCTAATTTCAGTGTGTGGACATTATTCTTTGTTTGTTAGATGTTACACAAGTAGCCTGCATGGAACCAGCTACCAATAACAGCTTCAAACATTCAAAACCTGTTTAACACACTTTAACATGTTTAAATCCACTGAGGTATCTCACACTTCTCTGCTACTAAAGATCTCAGCAATGTATCAAACTGTGCTCAAATTTGCCAGGATATCACATCAGAGATTTCAGTAGGAATGAATCAAATTCATACAAGAATAAATGATTAGAGCTCTGCTATCAGCATTTACTGTCAGTCTGAATGGTTTCTATTATAATTTCTCCAGAGGAATTTTAGGAGAAACATCTGAGGTTGATATGTGACCCTGGAGCACAAAAGCAGAGTTAAGTCGCTGGGTTATATTTGTAGCAATAGCCAACAATACAGTGTATGGGTCAACATTATACATTTTTCTTTTATGCCAAAAATCATTGGGATATTAAGTAAAGATCATGTTCCATGAAGATATTTTGTAAATTTCCTACTGTAAATATATTAAAACTTAATTTTTGATTAGTAATATGCATTGCTAAGAACTTCATTTGAACAACTTTAAAGATGATTTTCTCAATATTTAGATTTTTTTGCACCCTCAGATTCCAGATTTTCAAATAGTTGTATCTCGGCCAAATATCATCCAATCCTAACAAAATCCTAATTACTGTAATGTAATTACTATTCCCATGAAAAAGTAAAGTAAGGGATCTGTTTGTCTGTAATTTAATTACAGTATAGACTGTATATAGACTATAGAACAATAGTGAATTTAACATCAAAATGTAACATCTAATGTTAAAATATATGTTTTTAATGTCTCCCTTTAAATACTTTGGTCAGTTCAAGAATAATGTATGCAGTTTTATATGATTTATTTTTAGTTTCATGACTTTTGTTCAACTGGTTGGGGTTGATATGCGATTTAAAAAGTAATTAGTAATAAGTAATGCAATACTATTTTGAGAGAATTAGTACAGTAATCTAGTTACACTGTTGAATATGTAATTATTAGCTAGTTATTAATTATCTTACACCTTGCAGATAATATATTAATAAAATTAATGACCACTTAAGTGAACATTTCAACAGAGATACTTTCATGACTATGTTTCTTAACACACTTAATTACAGTAATCTAATTACAATGTTGAATTATTAGCTAGTAATTAATTACCTTTAGAGTAACCTGCCCAACACTGCTTGCAGATAATATATTAATAAAATCAATGACCACTTAAGTGAACATTTAAACAGAGATACCTTCATGACTATGTTTCTTAACATACTTAAGTACACTTTTTTTTAAAGTACAGTTTTTAATAATGTCAAATTAAAGGTTTTACTTGTAATCTGTGAAATTAAATGACATATAAAGATGTTACAAGTACAAAGTTCTAACTAAGTAGGTCAAAAAGCAATCTAAAGCCAAACTTGCAATTGCAATTAACATGCAGTTAAGTGTCTGAAAACTTTACATTCAGTTCACATTTAACTGTATTCTTTTAAAGTGTATTATTTCCATAATAGGTTCTCTTTTTAAAAGTATGCTAAAATGTGCAAGGGCAGACATCTTCACACTGGAGTTTTACTCCTCTACTCTGTTTAATTTCTGATTACTGTGTAACTTTTCTTGGGCACTGGTAACTGTCACAATCAGGGAAACGTTCACACTGTTTTGTACTCCTCTCTAACAGAACTGCGTGTTTAGATGCTTCAAAGAACTGACTCACACGAATCGTCACTGGGAAAGATTCAGGTTTAGATGCCAGATACTGTTTCTCTTCTTGGTCCTCAAAAGTCATTCAGTTAAAGCTTTGACTTGATTTTTTTTTACTTTTGAAGCTTTGACTTGCTTACATTGCTTAAAGGGGTCATAGGATGCCCATTTTCTTGATGAAAAGTCTGTAACATAGTTTGGTTAAAATGTCTCAATGGTAGTGTAAAAACACCCTTTTTACCCTGTCAAAAACGGCTCTTTTCAGATCAAGCCGTTTTTGTAGCGTTTTCCTTTAAATGTTAATGAGCTCTGCTGACCCCGCCCCTCTCTTTCGAGCTGTTCTCTGAGGGACTGTTTACTTAAGCCGCATTCATCTGAAACTTGCTAATTAGCACATTATTAGGAAAGGCGATTTGCAAAGATTCATTGGGTGGATTTTTATCATTATAGGGTGGTTGTGTACACACACTCCCAACACATATTTCAGTTCAAACAACTTGTAAAAGTGCATGTAGCATCGGATGACCCCTTTAAGATCATAGCTGACGTTAACAATACAACCTCCCCATGAGCTGAGTCACAGTCTTACAAGTGTTTTAAAATAACTTTCAGATAGTATATGAATGAAATAAAAGTGTACTTAAAGAGAGACACATTCATGACAATGTTACACAACACACTTAAGTACAGTTTTAAAAAGTGACGGTCAATTGTAACACTTTAACTATACTACATTTATTTGCCTAACTGTCCAACATTATTTGGTAAACAGCATAAAACTTCATTTCACGTCCCATTAGAAATGAAACTCACAAATGATATCTGATTAATATCTAAATTGTCCCTCAAAGGCAGCAATGTATGGAAGTTCTAAGCGGCCATGCATTATGTCGATATAACGAGAAAATTAAGTCGTTATAACGAGAAAACAAGAAGAAAAAAAAATAATGCATGGCCGCTTAGAACTTCCGTAGCAATGAGATGCAGATATAGAAGACTTGTTCTCTCAAACTGTGCTCAGAGAAAGTATTTTTCCGTCAGCAGTTGTCTCATTTGTGTCTTTCTCCTTAGTTTTTTTAGGAGAAACATCTGAGGCTACTTAATGAAGCTTAACTGAGGACTGAAGTCCTTGAAGTATGAAAGTGTAGCAATGAAACCTTCCTCTGGGGTCTCACCATGTCAGTGCGAGATTCCTGATAAACCCTCATTTTGCAGCAGAGAGGAACCTTCCGGTACAGGATCAACAGCATCACCACGATCATAAAGAAAAACACCAGACAACAGACTGAAAAAGACAACAGACAATACACATCAGTCAGATCTGTAACCTGTAGATTTGTAAATGTAGGCACAATTTATATTGCAGTACAACACTAATTTCAAAGCATACTTTCATAGGCATACTTAGATCTTGGCAAACATAATTTATGCATAATTAGGCCAATGTTTAATTACGTATCATTTCATAATTAAGTATTTTTCAATTACTCATGTTAAAAGTCTTAAGTAGGCCTATATATGTATATATATGCAGTAGCCTACATTTGCCAAATATTGTTATTATGCTTAACCCTTTAACTGTCACTATATTACAATTAAATCCTAATCTAATCATGACAAACTATATATCGTTGGAAAGGTCTAAGACTCCTAAATAGATATTTTACCAATGTTTTTGTAAAACATTATGTAGGAAAAGTAATAGCTTAATTTATGACAAGAGTGCACCTCAAAAATCTACATCATAACAGGAGTTCTGACCTTTGTCACAAAAAAGTCTTCTTTGTTGCCTTTTTACGGTGGCCGAGAAGTGCAGAACAAATCACAATTCTGAAAACAAAATAACAAATTACAAACGCAAATGCAAGTCTAAAAAACAAAATAACAAGTCAGAAAGCACAACAACAATTCAGAAAACATTATAACAAGTCAGAAAACACAAGGACAAATCAGACAAACCGGAAGAGGTAGGTATAGTTTGAGACAGCGCCATTGATTTGGGATTACTCACCGCTGACTGGACGAGACATCTGTCAATCAACGTATACAGAGAAGAACCAGCCGAAGAACAGCAGAGTCGTGGTAGAAAGTTCGGAGATGGTATTAAAGTAGCTCAGTTTAAATGTATTGAATGAATTGCCCTTACTATGGAATAAAAAGTATGGGGTGTCTATTTACATTTAGTTAAAAGTGGCTGTGAAACATCAGCTCCAGTGGCGCAGATGGATAAGTGTGTATCACTGGCTTATTGACGCGATCGCCTTTTGCCGAACTTTTTTTTCCTCCCTTTT